ACTCAGTTACAGCTTCGCCCAGATTGCTTTAAACGAAACAAGTCATATCCACCGTGGCTCTCAACAATACCAATGCCAGAGCGCCTGGTTTGCTGTACTCAGGGAGTAGCCCGGCGTCCACCGTACCCGGTTGACATCGTGGTGTCCTGTACCGTCGGACATGCGTCAGTGACTTACTGTGATGTCACCAAACTCCTGCGGTTAGGGCAGGTCCTTCAGCCTTGGTCCTACCCATAGGCGTCACTTTCTAAAATCGGTTGCGCGGGAGGGGGAGGGTTACTCTGAGCCGATAAGGTTGACTTAAGCTATCCCACAACCTGATTTCCCTCCGAATTTCGACCACTTGAATTCACGTCCCGATGTCAAAAACAAATATTTCGCCGATTCCAGAATCGGGCGCACCACAGTGAACAATCAACCTGACAATCGACTACCTGCAGCAGATTCAACCGTTACGCACCCTAGATCGCCAGGTGGTCACCTGAAGCACCCTTTGTTAAGGAGTTGACGGATGCGGGACCACTGATAACTGCCGCTTTCACTCGTGGTCTCTTGCCATTTAATTGGCGATCGACTACCACCACGGCTACGGCTTTGCGAGAAATACACTTGCTACTGTTGAGGGGGCAAGACAATTTTTCACATTTAAAGATATTGAAGCAAGCATCAGTGATTGTCGAACGTGTTTACTCATAACAATTGGTATACGTTGAAGTAGAAAAGAATGCTCTAAACAACACAACTTCTCTGTTTAGGACATATTCTCATCGATACGTCATTGTTTGACTACGTCATCGTATCTTGCACAACATTAATTGAGAGTCAATTGACGGCTGCTTTATTTGGAAATCGTGCTCGCGAACGCCGGATACGAACGGCTCGACCATGATCTTTTTTGGGGGCTTGATCGCTGCATGGCTTCTGGAATGACAGGATTGAAATGACGCTATGATGACGTCATGATTACCAATGTGGCCCTGAAGTACTCTCTCCAAAAATATTTCCACCTTCGCGGACGAGTAGCTTAGAAACGGAAGGATAAAAAAGAGCAGGACTCTTAACTGCACAGAATTATCTTCAATATGGCCATTTCAGTTCAATACCATCTAGAAATGTGGAACACTCCCTTTGGCTTGCATATCAGCTCACCGCACACTTTTGAAAGCTGAATACATATCGCAGTCAATTGTTCTTTATCCCAAGCCATGCGCTTTCGTGTGTAAAATTGGTTAAGCATGCCAAGACTGGCCGCCATTTAAGGGAGATAGCATGACAAAAACATTGGGTGGCTTCGGGATACTATCTGGTGCAAAATGAGCATGCTAATGAGGCATCTAATCACCTCGCGCGCCAAAAGCTAGGCTGTTTTTCTCTGCATTTCTTGCGCAATATTCTCGTTTTGCTCAGCTGCATTGAGGGGGCTCAGAGGGACATTCGTGGGGTGGAGGTCGGAGGTTAGGGTGCGGTGGGTGGGGTTCTGAAAATAGCATCGGGGGGGGGGGGGGGGGGCAGTACCCCTCCCCCCCGGAAGCAGACAAACTGACGTCCCTGGTCCCACTCCCGGGTAAAATAAGACAGATTATGTGCAGCCCACCGCGTCCTTCCTACGTCCTTGGAACCGGTCCTGTTGCTACCGCCTCGGGTCTCCTAACTGCTATCATAACGATTGTTATTACCTGTATTGGACTCCAGACTGTTATACCGATTGCTGGCGTCGCTATTGGACTCCGGATGGTTATTATACCGATTGCTATACAAGATCACACGCATCACGCATATACCAGTGAAGTTGAAGGCTGTCACGTCTCTTCTTTCCGCTGTGTTTTCCACCGCTACGTAGAAAACAACGTGTTGATATGTTCTCACACCATGAAACATCACAAGTATCACCGTCCAAGAACATTGCACTACGAGCCCTTCTTGTACGCGGCTATTGTTAAAGGCAGATACGACTGCAACAGATACGACTGCAGCCATTAGCACCATCACGACTACACATGCCTTAATTGGCTCTGCATCCGGCTGGCTGACATCACACCAGATCCGCAGCACATGCACGAGGCGTCGAATCCAATCTCGGCTATAATGAACCAGAGCCGCCCGCAAAGCTGGGTGCCAGTTATTGTATGCCAGCGGCTCGCATGTATCATGCAAAAGGCACACATAGTACAAGTGGACGGGCAATGCCCCGGACCGAACGCCTGGCCCGAACATCTGCGAAAACAAATAAGTCACCGCATGTTTGGACAAGCCATTGTTCATGGGAGATACTGTGCCGTAATTAGCCTGGCACGTCGGCTCTCCGACCGCGGCATGACCGGCACGAATTGCGGTTTTTACCTGTCCAGCTTCGTTATTTGACAAAAAGCATGAAGAACGGGTGTGTGCTAGCATGTCACCACACATATTACATAATTCCGGTTTTTGGCAGCGCTTATCCACTGATCAACTGTGGATCAGAACTATCCACAGTCACACCGCCGTCGCCCACCGCGCTGGCTGGGCTGTCTATACTGACTTCCGTCCTGCCGTCCTTAAGAGGTCATCAGAGCCGCGCGCGCTCCTGCCCTGTCTCCGAGGTGAGCAGGGTCCGCCAGATTGACCTGACAGCTTCTGAGGTCATCAGAGCCGCGCGCGCTCCTGCCCTGTCTATGGAGAGAGCAGGGTCCGCCAGATTGACCTGACAGCTTCTGAGGTCATCAGAGCCGCGCGCGCTCCTGCCCTGTCTATGGAGAGAGCAGGGTCCGCCAGATTGACCTGACAGCTTCTGAGATCATCAGAGCCGCGCGCGCTTCTGCCCTGTCTCCGAGGCGAGCAGGGTCCGCCAGATTGACCTGACAGCTTCTGAGGTCATCAGAGCCGCGCGCGCTCCTGCCCTGTCTCCGAGGCGAGCAGGGTCCGCCAGATTGACCTGACAGCTTCTGAGGTCATCAGAGCCGCGCGCGCTCCTGCCCTGTCTCCGAGGCGAGCAGGGTCCGCCAGACTGACCTGACAGCTTCTGAGGTCATCAGAGCCGCGCGCGCTCCCGCCCTGTCTCCGAGGCGAGCAGGGTCTGCCAGATTGACCTGACAGCTTCTGAGGTCATCAGAGCCGCGCGCGCTCCTGCCCTGTCTCCGAGGCGAGCAGGGTCCGCCAGATTGACCTGACAGCTTCTGAGGTCATCAGAGCCGCGCGCGCTCCTGCCCTGTCTCCGAGGCGAGCAGGGTCTGCCAGACTGGTCTGACAGCTTCTGAGGTCATCAGAGCCGCGCGCGCTCCTGCCCTGTCTACGGAGCGAGCAGAGTCTGCCAGACTAGTCTGACAGCTTCTGAGGTCATCAGAGCCGCGCGCGCTCCTGCCCTGCCTATGGAGCGAGCAGGGTCCGCCAGATTGACATGACAGCTTCTGAGGTCATCAGAGCCGCGCGCTCCTGCCCTGTCTATGGAGAGAGCAGGGTCCGCCAGATTGACCTGACAGCTTCTGAGGTCATCAGAGCCGCGCGCGCTCCTGCCCTGTCTCCGAGGCGAGCAGGGTCTGCCAGACTGGTCTGACAGCTTCTAAGGTCATCAGAGCCGCGCGCGCTCCTGCCCTGTCTACGGAGCGAGCAGGGTCTGCCAGACTGGCCTGGCAGCTTCTGAATACGGGAGCGCCGCGCGCGCTGCCGCACTCGCCACTGACCGTCGTCATAGGAAGGTGCAACCGTCAGCGCATCCCACCGGGAGCCTATGGACCGACTCCGATATCCCGCCCACCATTTCACGAGCCCACCCTAGCAGCTGCATGGAGGGCCGTTTCTTTCATGATCACGTGAATTATACATGTCCACAAACAGGTCATCTCTCGGCAGGTGCAGCGGCAGGATTTTGGCACGGAGCGCCGCCAGACAGGCTAGCAGCGCCCAGAATCCCTACCGTCGCCACAGCCCACACGTCCGGCTGGGTGCGCCGGTGCAGCCGATGCTGACCGGGTTCCCATGGCGGACACTTATTGCATCACGTGAGGCGGCCACCGAAATCAGAGCATCCTGCTTTTCGGACGATAATCCTTAAACAGCTCACAGCGTACCGAGCGGTGAACCAATCCATTGCGCAAACAGACGCCATTCGCATATGTTGTAGCTTGTCTGGCTATAATGCTGAGGTATCAATCACACGGACCGGCGTTTGCCGTAATCTACCAGCACGGCATCCTTCGCCCTCAGTCGACCGGTCCCGAGCGGTCACGCTCATCCGCACATGCGAGTCACGGATGTGCATGCGCCACACTTGTAATCTGCACGGTTCAGAGGCTTCACAGCGGGTTTGAAGCCCGCCGAGAAGTCACAGCGAGAGCGGGGCAGCCACTCAACGCCCTTGCGTTGGAAGAATCGTTTTGCCGATCGTTGAGCTGGCCAGTCCCTTGAAGCCGCTTGGTTTGATGCTGATGTGTTGCCTTATTTGAGTGGTGGACAACACGGTATTTTGTCCCTAGCGGCACCGATGCTGCATCGTGTGCTTGTCGATATCCGCTATAACTGTTGTTTGCGTCTGTGCGTAGTGAACAGGAACCCCGACCACAAACCTTCAGTTTTGTTTGCCTCTAACGTGCGAATGTCAAAACTAAGAGCACTGCGCAGAGCTGGGTGTTGATTTAAAAACAGCCTCAAAAACGTTAGGCGAGGAGCACACACTCATTTGACCCAACCCCGCTCACACCTCCAAGTGGGCAAGCCGGACGCTGAGACGTAAGGGCAAAGCGAAACTAGATCGGCCCGTATCGCAGCGTTCCACCGCGGTGTGCCCCGGTGACGCACGGCAGGGCGACCGTCGGTTTATGCAGCCGCTGATATCGTCACCTGGCGCCTCATGCGTCGCGATCGCCGTGTCCCTGCTCGCTATCAGCTGGGCGGCGGTATCTGGCGACGCGGGCCCGATACGGACCTCGGCCACAGCGCGCGGAGCAGGCAGTCACCGGGCGGCGCGGCTCGACGCGACGCACGCCGGCCTCGCCATGGAGGGGCCCGCCCCGACGCCGCCGCCCACCTGGAACGAGCTGGCCCTGGACGGTGAGATTGCCGGCGCGCCGGGCAGCCTCAGCAGTGGGGTGAGGCGCGGTTGGCCTGGCTCGTCGTGCGGCTAACCGTCTGCGGTGTTGCATGCAGCCTAAGTCGTGGCTTGGGTCACACAAGCCTGTCGGGCTGGGGCGCTGCGGCCAGGTGAGCCACCTACGGCCCTGCCCTGCTCTGCACCGCTCTGGGATGACGGCTCTAGCTGATCTGAGGGAGGACTCTCTTCGGCATGCTTGAGCGTCTTTGTTTGGTAGGACCTTGGACTATCGATCGAGTACAGTCACCTCCTGGCCTTGACGGTGGGCTCAAAACGCTTCTTTTGAAACGACATGGTCAGCTGCATATCACCCAAGCAATGTACGCACCGCTGTTCAGCGTTCCCCGTGCCCAGCCGAGGAAACCCGGTCATCGCAGATCAGCATCAGCGTAGCGTAGCATCAGCATAAGCATCAGCGTAGCGTAGCATCAGCATCAGCATCAGCGTAGAGCTACCCCGTAGTCCAGCCGACCACTGCGCACACCTGTCACACTCCAGCCAGTCCTCACCTCTTCTGCTCGCGCTAACGCAGCCACCTCACAGCCTGACATGCCAGCCCTGCCTCTCTACCTTCGCAGTGGGCTCGCCGCCGCCTGGCCTGGAGAATGCTGACGCAGCCTCCTCGCCGCCTGACACGCCAACCCTCGTCTCTCCTCCGCAGTGGGCTCACCGCCACATGGCCTGAAGGATGCTGACGCAGCCTCCTCGCCGCCTGACACGCCAACCCTCATCTCTCCTCCGCAGTGGGCTCGCCGCCGCCGGAGCTGTCCGCGCTGTCGCGGTGGCAGGCGGACGTGCAGGGGGCTCTGCAGCCGGGCCGCTGGCTGCCGGGCCTGCGCACGCCGCACATGTACGAGGAGAGCTGGCGAGTGGCCTCATCGCCCAGCGTGTGCCTGCTCGCCGCCGTGCGCGCCGCCAAGCAGCTGCGACGCTCCATGAAGTGCCAGGTCAAAACCGTGTGAGTCACTCGGCCGGCGGGCCAGGCCGGGGGAGGGGAGGAGAGGGGAGGGGAGGAGGGGCTTCCTCGAGGAAGGAGTGGGAGAGAGGGGCCAGCTCGTGGGAGGGAAGGGAGAGAGGGGACAGTTTATGGGAGGGGCGGAATAGAGGAGCCAGCTCGGGGGAGAGGCGGGAGAGAAAAGACAGTTTAGTGGAGGGGCGGGAGAGAGAGGTCAGCTCGGGGAGGGACAGGAGGGAAGAAACAGTTCAGTGGAGGGGTGGGGAGAGGGGCCAGCTCGGGGAGGGACAGGAGGGAAGAAACAGTTCAGTGGAGGGGTGGGGAGAGGGGCCAGCTCGGGGAGGGGAGGGAAAGAGAGGACAGTTCAGGGGAGGGGCGGAAGTGAGAACCAGCTCGGGGAGGGGCGGTAGAGAGGGGAAGCTCGGGGAAGGGGCGGGAGAGAGGGGCCACCTCGGGGCAAGAGCTGGAGAGAAGGCCAGCTCGGGTGGGGCGGGAAAGAGGGCATAGTTCAGGGAAAGGGCTGAAAAGAGAGGACAGTTCAGAGAAAAGGGCGAAGTAGAGGGGCCAGTTCGGGGAGGGGCGTTAGAGAAGGGCCAGCTCCAGGAAGGGGGAGAGGGGCTATGTCGGAGGAGGGACGGGAGAGAGGGCCAGCTCCAGGAAGGAAAGGGAGAGAGGGGTCACGTTGGGGGAGGCGGAGAGAGCAGTCATCTCTGGGTAGGGGCGGGAGAGAGGTGAGACAGCTCGGGGGAGGGGCAAGAGAAACAGGAGCCAGCTCGGGAAAGGGGCGGGAGAGAGGGACCAGCTCCAGGAAGGGGAGGGAGAGGGGCCACCTTGGGGGAGGGGTGGGAGGAAGAGAGAGAGAGAGAGAGAGAGAGAGAGAGAGAGAGAGAGAGAGAGAGAGAGAGAGAGAGAGAGAGAGAGAGAGAGAGAGAGAGAGAGAGAGAGAGAGAGAGAGAGAGAGAGAGAGAGAGAGAGAGAGAGAGAGAGAGAGAGAGAGAGAGAGAGAGAGAGAGAGAGAGAGAGAGAGAGAGAGAGAGAGAGAGAGAGAGAGAGAGAGAGAGAGAGAGAGAGAGAGAGAGAGAGAGAGAGAGAGAGAGAGAGAGAGAGAGAGAGAGAGAGAGAGAGAGAGAGAGAGAGAGAGAGAGAGAGAGAGAGAGAGAGAGAGAGAGAGAGAGAGAGAGAGAGAGAGAGAGAGAGAGAGAGAGAGAGAGAGAGAGAGAGAGAGAGAGAGAGAGAGAGAGAGAGAGAGAGAGAGAACGGCTCGGGGAGAGACGGGAGAGGGGGGTCAGCTCGGAGCGGTGCGCGAGAGAGACTACACTGAGAGCTAGACGCATCGGACGTGGGAGTTGGACGGTTAGGCTTGCTGGGCACGTAGCGTCGGGCTGGAGTCTATTGAAGTCTTGGAGGCCGGAGTCTGACAGGAGGCCGATGAAACCATCGGATGAGTCACACAGAAAGGAGTACTGAGCAGACCAAGCGAGCTCTCGTGCGATATTCGAAGCACCAAGCAGTACATCATACTTTATGAAGTGACTGTAGACGGTTGCTAGCCCACGGAGTACAGCTTTCCGGGGTTTGCAGCTTGTGAGCTGCGATAAGCACGTGCTGGAAATGCCCAACAATCCTTTGACCAAAACTGAGCGTCAGATTAGTGAAAGATGAGAGAGGATGGCTAGAAGTGCATGCAGCCAGCTGTGACGTTGCTCAGCTTCAAATAATTCAAAGCTTTTCGTCTGAGTCAGGGTGTCGTCGCGGTCCCGTGCGCCTTATCCGATTGTGGCAGGAATTACCCGGGGCAGGTGCAGGGCAATGAGGTCGAGGTGACGGCCATTAACTCTGCCAGATGTCATGGCCAGCTGGCCACGCGGCAAACATGGGCGTCGCCGCTAGGGGTGGACCGCGGGGCTAACAACACTATTTCCTGGCGTCTAAAATCCACTTCAGCTGCGGCAGATGCTGCTGCCGCCGCCGCCGCCGCCGCCGGCCGCCGATCCGTCCGGTCAGAATGACGGCACGTTCACGTGTGAACACTCGTGATCTACGCTCGTGTTGCACTGAGGGCGCACCAAAGGGTCAGCAGGGGATCGAGCTTGAAGGCCAGTGTCAACTACAACCCATCAGTCAATGCATGTTTAAATAGCCAGGCACTGATTGTTCGACGACTGCTCACGAAGCAGACAGCACTGAAGCATCAAGACTGCTACATAACAAGCATCCATCCAGCAAACGTCTAACTTGGGTGTTATTTGTAGACCACTGCCTGGTTACAATCACAACACTGGTGTTCTATCTGGTACGAACTGTCATGTCCGAAAATGGCTGGGACGCTTTTGAATTTTATTTACCTTTCGTAGGCGAACAGGTGAAAAATGTGAAATCGGCACCAGAATATCAACCTCGTTCGACAGTTTGAAATGCAAGCGTTCGTCATTCCCGCTCATTTCAGCTTTCATGCACAAACTTGCCTGCAACACCCGCCGCTGGCGCCGTCTCGACGGAGTTCCGATTCCTCCCGCCAGATGTCAGAGTGGTCGGACCAGGCCAGAGCGACGCTCTACTTCTTTACGGACTCCATGGGCTGGCTGGACGTGGTGGACATCAGCCTTACGCCAATGGACGGATCCACGCTCATCACGCTGCGCTCCTGCTCCAGCGGCCTCTTCCCAGTCAGCTTCCCTCTGGCGCCGCTGCTGAACGTGGTGAGCTCCCCTCTGGCGCCGCTGCTGAACGTGGTGAGCTCCCCTCTGGCGCCGCTGCTGAACGTGGTGAGCTCCCGTTTGACGCCGCTCCTGAACGTGGTGAGCCCCCCCCCCCCTCCTCTGGCGACGCTCCAAAACGTGCTGAGCTCTCCTCTGACGCCGCTGCTGGACATGGTGAACCTGAGCCCTGGCGTGGGTTCTGAAGGAAATTGGCCCACTCTGGTCACATTGAACATGCTAAGGGCACATTACCCTGACCCCTGAGGATATTGAGAGCTACGCATATGGAGTAGAGTCTGCTTTCGAGCGGTGATGGCAATCCATACAGCTTTTCACCTTCTGATACGCGAGTTAAGCATGTCAAGTGCACGCCCAGCTTGCATAACCACAGAGGTAAAGCCCATGTAGGCTAAAGCGTGCGTGCCCTAAACGTACATATTGACCTGCGGTCTCGAAAAATGAAAGCAGGATTAAAGAACACTACGTCTTGTGGCAGTCATCAAAACTAATATATGCAAGTCCATTTTGAAGAGGGTTGTTTTGTCATGGTCTTGTATTTCTAACGCATTGATCGTCTCATTTATGCATGGGGAACATCGCTGCCCGCCTTCCGTCAGTGGTGTGCGCATCCATAATGCGCGGACCTGAGGGAATAACTGCATTGATTCCAACCAGCACCGAAACACAGAGAAAACATCGATTCGCAATAAGTTCATCTCACCTAGTTGCAAACTAATCCAAATCAAGGCTGCTTTACCCAGATTCGGCATGCTTCGATGGTTGATTCTGTGTCTGCATCCAAATGTCCACAAGTTCGCCAGCATGCTCTGCCTAAGGGCGTTTTCACGACAAACATGGCCAGCAAGGTGTATTCACCCCCACAAATGTTCGGGTTCGTCGCGCTGGATCATGACAGACTTTTGCCAAGCGCCTCCATGAGGGTGTAATGAGTATGAGTTTTTTGTTGAGAAAGCAAGCTTCAGTCTTGCAAACAGGCACCGATTATGCGGCGCATTAGCACTATATAAGGATAGTATTGAGGGTACCAAATACCGTCATTGAGGGTAACTTTAGCATATTTTTGGATATTTTTATGCCTCCTTGTTTTGTTGGGGCCAGCAGATTTAAATTATTGGTTGGAGAACTATTGGAGAGGTGGGTTCTTTTGCTTGGTATGTACAGGTTGTTGGCTCTGCTTGTTGAATGTTGATTAAAAAAAATATGCGGTGGCTAAAGTTAACCGGATCCCAACTAACTTTAGCCACCCAAAGTCACTTATCAGGATTCATGAAAAATTTTGGGCGGTGACTTAAGATAGGTCAGATCTGTTTACCTCAAGCCAGTTCAAAATTTTTAAAAAATCATGACCAACATCAGGAATCAATCTGCTGTGTATTACTTGTGACATTGAGCCTTAATGTTGCAAGCTGCCACAAATGTGCTTCCAGAAACCTGAATCAGTTAACTTGAAACTGAGCCTGTAACTTTTTAAACTTGAAGTACAAACAATAGAATTACTGTCTGTCTCACTCACATGTAACAATAACCGTCTCACACGATCTTGTCAAGCGAAGACGGCAGGGTCCAGGTACACCCACGCCGGTCAGGGACGATGTTGGTGATTTTGCCAACCACAGCACACGCGTCAATGACGGCAACATCTTCTGCATCTGGGGAAACAAATGCTCTCTTCCCCTTTGCTTAGGGACGAGAACGAGGCGTGGTGCAAATCAGGATACCTTATGGACTAGGCTTTGACCTGGAACAGAAACACATGGATGAGGAAAGGTCATGACACTAACAAAAAACATGGAAAAGTTACGTATAGCATTATGTAGAGTTTCACTTGTGTATCCACTATTTAATGGATGATATCATACCTCCTAGGGTCCCATTTAAAGAAATAGGGGTGGCTAAAGTTTGCATGATGCCAACTTTAGTCACCCCTCCCCACCTTTAGTCGCAGCTCCAGTAAAAAAGAACCAATCAATCATGTAATACTAAGTGGGCAATGACAGCGGAGACTTTAAAGGTTGTGCAAAAATGCTTACTTTTGCTGTATTAGCTTTTCCTACTTGCCTAGGGCACCATCAAATTCACCTCATTTTTGAGGAAATTTGAACAGTGTTTGAAGCCGCGAAATAGTGATTTCTGATTGACAAAATTACTGCTGTTCAGTTACAAATTAGTCTGATAAGAATGTAACTTACATGGGTAAAGTTCATACTCCCCACTTTGAAACATAACATGCACATGATAGATTTAAAGTCTGAACCACAGTTTGGCTAAAGTTACCCTGAAGGCTCAAGTTACCCTGAAGGCTAAAGTTACCCTAAATGGCGGTATAATCTAAAGCTCGTTAACTCAGCATATGAACTTCGAACTCACAATACCGAAAAAACAGGAGCTGAAGCCGTTTCTTCCTTGTAGCCAACATATCCTTTATAAATGCGTGAATCTCCGGCGCGCTAGACTACACCCAGTGACTGCCAAGTGTTCGATGGTCCGCAAATGACACTGGGATGTTTCCTAAGGCGAAGCAGGCTTTCATGGACTGCGGATGTCCCAAAGGCGCGTTCCACCTACCTTTGTTCTTGATAGGCGTAATTTTGAGGATAAATTTGCTTTTTCGCGCATCAGTCCACATGCAGAGCACATCGCATGGCATAACGGCTTAGCTGAAACATTTCTTAGTGCTAGAGCTGTGGTTTGGCGGACGTATGACGTATGTTTGGTCTGCAATCGAGAAAAAATTTTTCGTTTTGAAAACTAAGCTACGACCAAATATTTCCAACAGGCCTGACCACATCTGGCCATATTAACTCGAAGAGCTATACGTGCACTGGAGAGAAGCCAAGCCGGATTTTGCCCGGCAGCGATCGCTGCACCGACTGAAGTGTGCCGCGCCGATGGCAATGTCCAAGCGTGGTGCGACCTGATCATTTCGGTTCGAGCCGGCAACGGCCGCGCGGATGCAGTGAATGCGGAGTGGTACTGTCAGGTGTTAGGGAGGGCATGGTGGCATGCAGGAAGAGCACGTCTGCACGGGCAGACCACCTGGCTGGCACCTGCTGAGGCCACCTGGCTAGTGGCCTCAGCAGGGCAGACCACCCCTCATTGTCCCTTCAAATCACCAGGGCGTCTTCAAGATCGCTGCAGTGATTATCCGCCGATTCGTTGTGCAGCGGGTGGTGCGTCACCCTGATCTGTTGTCACCCATCGACTTCTTGTGGGAGCACCTGCAGGATCCTGTCCAACCTGAAGGACCTGTGGGAGCGCCTGAGGGACCCTGCCTATGAACGTAACCCGGGACAGTCGCTCAGCTGAAGGCGGCAGTAAGAACCAAGCCCCGAGCAGCCGCATCCCTCATTGTGCGAATGTTTAAAACAGGATTGCCATGCGCATTTGGGTGTGTTTAAGCCACCGAACCAACATTGAGCATACACTGTAACAGCTCAAATATCAAGAGACACTTTAATGGCATTAAGTGTGATTTGTTGAGCTTGCGGAGCACTGCAAGCTAAATATAATTTTTTATACCAAGCTGGCTGAAACTGGATGCTTACTGAAACCAATGTAAGCTAATTAAATACCTTGAGTGGTCATGATCAAAAGTGAAATCCACCAACATAAAAGCGTCCGGACAACCGTTCCCTCAACTCACACTTCTAAGCTTTGGAAAATATCTTTTTGAAAACATAGTTCGCATTTCAATTCAGACACGCACACCAAGCAGCATTTCTGCGCATTTCAATTTCGAGCTTACAGGTGGAAATGTCTCGTTAAGGCCTCTAACGGACCAGTTCAGTGGCCAGCGGTTCCACTTGCTCAGACGAGACGATGTATGACCTCAAGAAGAACAGCAGGTCGTCGCATCATCACCTCGACTCCACATCTAACAAGAATATCGTCTGCCCACACGGGGCGGGGCCTAACCGTGCGGCGTTGATCAGCTGAGCCGAGGCGAATATCACCCTCGTACTCTGTTTCCACTTCCAGTGCTTGTTCTTCTTCCCGTTCTACGACATTGGCCAGAACCAGTGCTGGATCAGCGCCCTGAAGCAGAGGTTCGACCTGGAGATCACGCTGATGCGTCAGTATCGTCCATGCTAGTCTGACTGCCCGGACTTTCATACTATATCGACAGCTATCGCTTGTGTCATCGTCTTGATCTTGAAAGTTAGCCAATGCCGGCAGTGAACAATACGCGATCGTTATTCCGTACTCCTATGCGTTACGGCAAATATCACATTTATTCACACAGCTGCCAAAGCACTGTTAAGTAGGATTTCGTGGTGACTGTCAAGCGGCTTGGTGGTGACTGCGATGTGTCGGAGCGGAGAAGCTGCTTCTCATAGACGTTCGACGCAAGAGTGTCTGCTGACCGGCCGGCTCATCCTCGTTGCCACGCGTCGTTTGCATACCGTTTCGCCCCTTGCGCTCGCTGACGGCGTAGCTGGCTGTCCACGGATCCGTGAAGATCCGATTGGTGCATGCCGATAGCATGGGCTCAGGAAAGGATAGGCCTCTCGTGGCCTTTTTAGACCGAGCCAACATTCCCCGGGGCCAGACGTCCGCTGAAGTGTTGTGCTAATGTTTGAGGAATATGACGAAAACAACAGCCTGAGCAATCGGCTCATTGGGATGATTGATGTCTCGTCCTAATATTGTTGTTAGTCACATGTCTTAGAACGTGCGTATGTTAAATCACAATCATTAACAAGGGAGACTGGAACCGGAGTGCAATACATGATTCCAAAAATGTTTGTTTGCTGTGCATGTAAACACAGTTCAGTACATTTTTGGTTACCTGTAAGCAGAAGACGCACTTAACTCAATTCCTTATTGAATAAAGTGATGTAGCTGCTAATGCAGACACAAATTAACCCATTTAATCCCTAAAATAGCCCATAGAAGTCGGGATGCGCATCTCACAGAGACCACAATGCGCGAATTGCTTGCTGTCAGGGGGCGGATCCAGAGGGGGGAGGCACTGGAGGCACGAGACCGCCCCCTCCCCCCGACTGGAGTGAAAAGGTGTCCTCTAAGGGCCTCTCTAGGGTGCCAAAGGCGCCCTTCTGTGACGGCACTCCTAAAGGGGCGCCCGGCGCGGGCCGGAACGGGGCAGGATGTTTAATGACCATGAAGATCCAAAGGCGCCCCAAGCTTTGGGGGAGGAGAAAGGCGCCCCATAAGGCTGTAAGAGCACCCATATGGTCTGAAAATGAGTCTAGGAGTCTAGAAAAATGCCCTGAAAATTAAAAGGATGCCGCAAGCCCCGGACTGGAAGGCGCCCTACGAGGACTAATGCGGGCGCCCCAGTGGTCTTAGTCCCGAGGGCGAGCCGGACACCCTTGAAGGGAGGGTCCACCTTTGGGGCATAGTTAAAAAACATGCTCTAGTGAAACCTCAGGACTAGTGATGTCCTTCATTTTTGAATCCAAATTACGCTATCAATGCTCTATAACAACACCACTCTTCTTCCCTGCAGTCGCGACCATCGCCATCACAACATCGACCGTGCACACCTCTACTGGTGCGAATAAAAGAAAAAGGAGAATACAAGAAAAAAACACAAGGAGGGGCAAACGAGAGGACAAAAACCTTGAGATCTTCGGCTGTCAGAGGCACCTCTACTTAACCAGCGACGGCGAGCGACGTTCCTCCCATGTCAGCGACCGTCAGTGACCCGCTCCGGCTGTCAGTGACGTCCCTCCAGCTACTATTGGCGTCCCTCCAGCTACTATTGGCGTCCCTCCAGCTACTATTGGCGTCCCTCCAGCTACTATTGGCGTCCCTCCAGCTACTATTGGCGTCCCTCCAGCTACTATTGGCGTCCCTCCAGCTACCGTCACCATGCCAACGGCAGCTGGTGACGTTCCTCTGGCTAACAGTGATGTCTCTCTAGCCACCAGCACCGTACCAGTGGCGGCTAGTGACGTCCCTCTGTCTGTCAGTAACACTCCTCTACTAACTACCACCACCGTACCAGCGGCAGCTAGTGACGTCCCTCTGTCTGTCAGAAGCACTCCTCCAACCGCCAGCACCGTACCAGTGGCGGCTAGTGACGTCCCTCTGTCTGTCAGTAACACTCTTCCAACCGCCAGCACCGTACCAGTGGCGGCTAGTGACGTCCCTCTGTCAGTAACATTCCTCTACTAACTACCAGCACCGTACCAGCGGCGGCTAGTGACGTTCCTCTGTCTGTCAGTAACACTCCTCTACTAACTACCAGCACCGTACCAGTGGCGGTTAGTGACGTCCCTCTGTCTGTCAGTAACACTCTTCCAACCGCCAGCACCGTACCAGCGGCGGCTAGTGACGTCCCTCTGTCTGTCAGTGGCACTCCTCCAACTACCAGCATCGTACCAGCGGCGGCTAGTGACGTCCCTCTGTCTGCCAGTAACACTCCTCTACCAACTACCAGCACCGTACCAGTGGCGGTCAGTGACGTCCCTCCAGCTACCAGCTCGGTGCCAATGGCGGTTTTGTGGCCTGGGACATTATTAGAACGTTATTGAGACAAGGAGCAATGCAACGCACCAATTACCATGGTAGGTCATGTAGACTGTCGACTGTGGCCAAGGAGTCCGACCTATGATCTAACCATCTACATGTTGCAACCAATCTACATGTTGCAAACTCTCTCATCAGTTTTCACGAAAATCAATTGCCTCTGAGCCTGCAACCAGAATGGAAAAAATAACCATGCCAAAACATAGACAAACAAATTATTCACACCGTCGCTACGATGGCAAGTGTATCCAGGGCAGGATCACGAAAATGTGATCAATATCTCAGCATGTTGGTACACACAGCAGAATAAATGCAAAGGAACCCACCCGGCTCACCGCTTCCAACCACCACAATGAGCCCCTACGTAAGGTATGGAAGTTCTATATATTGCCACCATGCGGGTTTTGGGCGCCGCCAGTGATGTGGAATAATGCATGCCCCATGCGTGCTCGTAGATATTAGGTGGCCGTCAATATGGAGGGGTTTCTTCCGCCATCCGTTTTGTGTTTTCCAATGCAGTGTATCTTGCCGCTTTTATCAGTTTCGTATGATGTTGCCTACGTTTAATAGTAGCACTGGGTAGTGCCACTGCAGCACCATTAATATATAAGAAAAGACATCTTAATTATTTTCGAGTCAAACTTACGCTGTCAACGCTTTGTAACAGCACTACACTTCCTCCCCTCGAGGTAGCCCCAGAGTCCGCCCCGTTTCCGCGACCACTGCAGCTGTCGCGACTGCCGTCATCACAACCACCGTCGTCATGACGACGACAGAATCTGTTGAAGGCCGTTGTATGCTGTTACGGGTTAGAGATGCAGCTTTGACCTGTTTCGATTATATATAGTAATTCAAAAGCAAACTCCAATGAAAGCTCGGGACCAGTTACGTCTAGTAGCACTGGGTAGTGTTACTGTAGCACCGGCAAAACATAATGAGAATATCAGTTTTACTTATTTTTGAGCCCAAATTAAGCTGTCAACGCTTCACAACGGCACTACTCTTCTTCCCTGAAATCGCGACCAACGTCGTCATACTAACGACCGTGCGCACCTCTTTTGGTGTAAATAAAAGATCGTTTGTGGTTGGCCAAAGCGGGCAGGGGCCTGCTGCCGAGAAGCACATTGGCTGAAGTTTGAGCCAGTGTGCCACATGGGTCAGGTGGTATACCCATTTCCAAAGCCAAAGTGGGCCTCAAAAAGAGTGACTGTGGTAGACACCAAAAAGGGGGGAAATCAAAGCCATGACATAACATTTGTTGTGAGTGGGGAGTCCATTGCAATTTCTCACGCAGGAGCGGCTACTTCGAATAAAAATTCTGATCTAATCGGAGTGATTTCGAAAAAAACCTGGCGTTACCGATCAAATCGGACGCATCTAATCTAGCAATGAGTGAATAATACGAAAAGGTAGCGCACGCCTCTTAAAGGGAATGTCCTTCCTATACGACATATTTCAAGAACATGCCCTAGTAAAACCTTCGCACTACGTGACTCCAAATTTCGCCGCCCACCCTTCGTAATAGCGCTACACTTTTCCATTCCTTGGTAGCCCCAGAGTGCACCCCGGGTCCGCACGACGCATCTCGAATGAGGAAAGACCTTTGAGCTGTTTTAACCCACACATCGTGGGGCTGCGGTTTAAAGGGAGTGTTCCACATTTGTATGTTTTTTATTACTAAAACAGCTGTCTTGAAGATCATTCGGTGCAGTTTACAGCCCTGCCCCCTTTGAGACCTAAACCCTTCTAGCTTTTGAGCTACACGACCGCAAAGATGTATAAACTGTTCCGGGGAAACTATTTCAAGGTCACCCAGACATCCATAACGCCATGATAGCGTCATTCAAATAGGGACGGGGTTCGATTCCTCGCGGTGCCCGACCTTCCTGCCAGGGTGAGAGGCAGGCGACGCCATATAGCCTCAGCAGCTGAGTGCGTCGTGAAGCCCCAATGACACACACACACACACACACACACGTCATTCAAATCCTGCTATTCCGTTAATCATTCGGTGATCAAGGTCATGCAACATACAATTGTCGATTCGTTGATACCTTACGTGCATGAGCACGATTTCCACACATAACGGCCGTCAAATGGCTCTCAATCAGCATTGAGAAGGGTGCAATGACGTAGCCAAACAATGGCGTGTTGAAGAGCATTTAAAAAAGTAGAGAAATTATGTTTTCTAGAGCAGTCTTTTCACTTTAAGAATATCAATGAATGTAAGTGAGCTTTTTGCATCATATCTGATGCTTGCTTTATTATCTCCAAATGCAGAATGCCCTCTTGAAAAGTAGCACCTCTACTGGCATGAATGACGTCAGCACAAATGAACGCTCGTGATTGGCACAGCGGACGGCAAGGGCCAGCTAGCGAGAGACGCATCGATTGAGGTTTGAAGCAGTGCGCCACAATGGACTATGCGATGCTCCGTTTCCCAACGTCAGTGCGTTTTGAAAAGACCGGCTGTGGTAAACACCATATGGAGAGGAATAAAAACCATAGCATATCGTTCCATTGCATTCCTCGGATAACAGCCTCCTGTTTGCATATCTTTCTCTCTAAACGGAGTGCTTCGAGCTTTCATAGGATCAATTACATTGGCGTTTTTTTACAAATTGGTGTGATGCAGTCATAACAGCATACACATGTTGGAAAAAACAAGGCAAATGAACTGTATTGCTTTCATAGTGGTGAGTACAGGTTCCAGAACAACTCATGTTACCGATCAGATTTGACGCGTCTGATCTAACAAGAAATGGAAAACACAAAAAGGTGGCATACTCCCTTTAAGAATGCATTATTTCAGGGCATATGTGATGGTAGACATTGTGCGTAAAAAAACGCAATACGAAGGACCATGACACGACCTCCCATCCTCTGCATCTCGAAGCAAAATGTTACTGTCGCACTGGACTTCAAAAAGGAACAACTTGAGCGAGACTTATCACAACATTGTCCGCCGCCAGTGTTCATTCGTGGCCAGCGGTGACGGCCTGACGAAAGCGTCGTGTTTATGGCTCTCGTGTAAACACAGCAGGACAAAACCGCCCACCTTGTCTCCTTTGATCACTTTAAGAGCCTTCAGCCATGCCGCTTGATTTCACTAGAGGTCTGTAAGCCGCATGTAAACGCCGGCCCGTGGGCCACTTCACGCCCTGGTGCCCCCCCCCCCCCCCTCCCCCCGCCGCCCGTCCGCCACCGTAAGCCCGTCAGCCCATTCCACGTCCGCGCGA